ATACTAACAAGATCGGAAGACGCCATGGTTTAACGAAGAGGAGTAAGGCCGTCCGACTCGCATGATGCCGGGCCATGTTTATGCGGGCCAGGAAGCACGTGGTGGCCGTCTTCTTCAACGTGAAGCCGTTCTCCGTGGAGGCAGCGAGTGAGCCACCCTGTACGCTTCAGAATACAAACAAAGAGTAAAAAGACAGGCAACCCCTTGGGAAGCGACGACTACAACTTTTCAATGATGTTGATTGCATGGTACACCACAAAGTAATTAGCGGAGAAGACCCGAATATGGGCCAGAACACATGACAGCTTGTGATCAGTCAACCGAAGTCAATTCACCGTGCAGACGGGGTGATGATGGTGTCGCGAACTTCTTTCATAGCCTAGGTATTTTGAGGATTATCGTCGTTGCCTGATGATGAAATTTTTAGATACTCTCTTTCCAGTCTCTATTTCGTGGAATACTGTTTTCAAGTTTGTATTTGCATAAAGGAAGGAAGCTTAAAGTACCACTGGCGGTCGAACGCAGGGTTTGTTGTCGCCGCGTACTGACTGTATAGATTATTCTCAATTGTAGGTAATTTCCCCTCCACCAGACATCACACAGATTTCACCATTTTTTATTAAGAACCTTGTTCTACTGGTCATTAAGTATGGTTAAACAAACACATATATTACATGTATATGAAGGAAATTCTGTCAATTCACGACTGAATGAAGTATTACTGATCCAGTTCCATGACAGGTGGATCAATTGAATATCGAATGGTTTTTGATGGGGTATACTCCTCGCTGTACACTTCTTTGAAGTTATTTCGCTGAAAAATCGCAGCATATGTAATCCACATGGAACTGCGTGTTGGAATGGCTCTCGCAGATGGGAGCACTCACCACATACATCATCCTACTTGAAGGCTCGTCCATGTCAAGTGGCTGCATATGGTCAGTGCCCGATCGTTTTTGCTTTTTTCTTTGACTTTTTCTACTGCTTGTACGAAGCGATCGAATGGATAGCTCTGGAAATGACAAATGAGTGCTCCAGGTGTGGACAGGTCCTGAAAAAGTCATTTGGGCTGAGCGGTGGGTCGGCGTAGGGCTGCAACGGGGTGCTCAGAAGGTGCAACTAGCTCACACCCATCACATTTGAATCCATATCTTTGACTTAGAAAAGGAAGTAACTTAGCCTAAATAGAGCAGTGCAACCGATATTTGACATGTAGTAATGCTTACCTTATCATTAGGAATGCCGAACTCTTTCTTTTAATCTTGATAATCTAAAAAAAGCGACCCTCATTAGGCCTACTGGCGCAGTGGATTTTCTACATCTATGAGCAACCTTATCAGCAACTGAAATCTTAAATCACTCTGTGTGGTTAATGCTCGAGCGGAAGCATTGGTCACACAGTTTGGTTTAAGTGAGTCACTAACATTGCAGACTAATGGCAACAACTTTATCAGGGGTCATAAACGGATTTCTTTGTTTTTATAGATATGAGCCGTTGGTCGGGGACTTCCATATTGATGGTGGTCAATAGGTTTTCTCGCCACTGTTCCCTTTTAAATTTAGAGAGAATTATCTCTTGTGTCACTTGCGTTTGTCTGCATGTTTGTCCATTCTTTAGCATTCTCACGATTCTTATAAAAGGATGAGGGAAAACTAACAGCAAATTGAGGTGCCTACACTTAGGAAAAAACAGTAAAGCGACTACCAAAGTTTGCAAGTATGCATATGATCGAGTGAGAACTCAGAACTGAGTTACCAGGGATCGATGGCAGGGCTCACCCCGTGACTCCAGTTTCAGTTAATGATCAATTTTGTTTTTTGTTCACGCGGTACTGCTACTGTGAATATGATGACATAATTGAGTGGTCTTTCATAAAACCTTA